GATTTTGAGTATTTTTGTTGCCCATTACTAAAAGCAAATTTCACGACACAAAAATCAACATATCACATTGTAGATCCTTTCCACTCTTAAGAAAAACCCCGAGCTGTATTCTTGATTAGTCCTGTTGTGGCATCTCAGCCAGCTGTAATGTCAGTACTTTAAAAGGCTCTTTGGATTTGTCTTGGATTTGCTTAGTCTGAATGTTCTGTGGGGATCTTCCCTCTGGATGACATTATTGGTGTGGATTACTCCTTCCAGAGCCTCTTTATCCAATTCTGGTGGATATTCTGTTCCATCTACCAGAGGTATCGCTCCCTGCTTACAGTTCTCTGTTATGCTCAGTCTCATTCACAATGAGCGCTCCCGGATAAACTTCAGAGTCCTTCTGTAATTTTTTGATCAGCAACAAAAAAGTCATTTTAGACTAATACAAAATGTCAGATGCAATAGGTTAAAGCAAAGCACACAATTGTCCATTTAAATGCTAATTAACTGGGACATGTCCCTAATGCTCAAGTCCTGTCTTCCACCAACACGTGAGTTTTGAGGGGCTAGAAAAAGATCATGATACAAACAGCTTTAGCTCAGGAAAAATCTCTCACACCAAAAGTGTTAAAGGGTTTTGTGAGGCAAACTTTCATAATTCAGCTTTTTCTAAACCTTCCATGCTTACCAGACTGGACTTCTGCATTACTATTTGCATTAACTACGCAAAATGTCATTGTGGTTTGCAGCAACGTCAGACATCTGAAGGGGAACTTATCCATCAGTTATTCATACCTTTTTGAAGCTGGAATACATCTTTTTCTTTTTTTTTTTCCCTAATACACATTGCAGCGATTTTGTCCAAAAACATCACCTCTATTGCACACTTGCTCAGCACGAGCTGTTCCTTTAAAGTAACAGTTAGGAGATTATCGGTTTATCCTAGAAACGTCTTTCTTACTGCTGTGCTTAGTATCAGCAGAGTGATAAAACACTCTTAAAATAGTTCTAGGGTCCAGGCAACAATCAATTTATGCAATATTCTTTTGATTTTTATTTAGCAACGACTTTGGCGATTTCAGGTCTTTGAAGGCCAGGAATGAACAGTCCATTTAGGCTAAATTATTTCTGCCTTTAAAAGTCATGGCAGCCTGTACATAATGTCCTATCTCAACATCACCAGCCAAACTATCTGGAACACTACACTGCTGTTTGGCTTTCTGAATAAAAAGTATTAGAAGCAAATACGTTCAAAACCACACTGCAATTTAAAATTGTGTACATCAGGACTTTAAAAAAAAAAAAATAAATTCATATACTTTTTTCTATTGTCATTTGTAACAGATTTCCCACAGCGATGCCTTTTAACACCGTTTTGATAACAATTGAGTCATTGCTTGAGTTCACAACCTTCGATGAATGACAAGAACTTTTCAAAATCAGAGACACACATAAGACAAATATAATCCCCACACACCTTACAGAGCCACAGTTTCTTATCCCACGAGAGCGGACATATCCCAACCAACAAGACATTACTTCCAGCAGCAGTGTTAACTGCTTGAGCCACAGCAAAAGTGACCGCTCCCTGTCTGCCTCCACAGCAGTTACAGTTCCTCTTCACTGGTCTAGGAATCCTGCGTGGAAACAGCACGAGTGCCTCTTGCTTTACCCCTCACTCCAAAACCTGTGAGCCTTGGCAGGTTCAATGGCTATTATTATTATTACTGTTATTGTTATTATTATTATTATTATTAAGAATCCCACCAGATGGCAGTAGCATGTCTCCCCACCAAACAGGGAGCACTTCGGCAAAGGACAGCTCCTTATTCTTAGAATATACACAAGACTTCCAAAAATCAGATAGGTCATTTGAAATAGGGGGCACAAGCAGAGTTTGTCACTGACACTAAAACCTGAATTTTTTTTTCAACACCTTAATAACGTGTTAACAGCGAATACTTAAAGAGCAAATTGCTCTGTTTTCAACAAATTAGGTATGCAACTGGGTTCGTGGCCTTTTGCCAAACCAGAGCACAGTTAAGCAAATCGGCAGAACCTGGGGGAAGGTACCGACGCAGCTCTTCCTGCTCCAGCAGTCACAGCTCAGAAACACCAAGCTTCGGTTTTGCACTGATATGCACATCTTCGTGTCAAAGCACAATGAAAACGGATAAATGGAGCAATTTAATGCTGATTGTTCAAAAGAGTCTTTCCTACTTTGCTAGCTTGGGTTAAGTTCCCTTTACAACCTAGATGCAGGCACAGGGGACGAGGTGCCAAGGAGCGCTGATTTAGAGCGCAGTGGTGACTAGATGAGCCAGGACACAGTTTGTGTACACAAATACTCGCAGCAGCAATACAAGCCTGCAGGAGTTAATAATGAAAATGCTGAAGCACGATGCTTTGGCTCTTCATGAGTGAAAAACTCCAGCAGCACATTAGCTACCCCAAAACATCATAAAGTACCAGACAAATGAACTAATGACAAATGCTAATTCAACTGCCAAGTCAAAATCTCTCTCAGTACGCCAACGGGAGACTCAATACCACACGCTACTGATCACTTATTTGACGAGCTGAACTTAACTGCAGAAGTTGTACCTTTCCTGACAATGCAATGACACATCTGAGTAGCAAGATGAAAGACTACTTCTTCAAATACTCGAGCTGTCTGTAGAACAACATCCATTTCCCTCAGAAGCACAAGTATGAACTTTTCAGTTATCTACATGCTCAGAAGGAGATACAGATAAGCAACAGAATCCTTATTCAAGATTAGCTTAGGCCTTACGTTACTGGAAAACCTGTGTTACGCTTGCACCAAAGTGTACGTTTTTCACGTCTAAGTCAACTTAAACTACAAATACCCGAATCGATGTTTAAGTTCAGTTGCATTATCTCACATGGCTAAAATTAAATTACACAGGCATTCTTTCACGCTTTGAATGAAATCTAAAATTCAGTTTAATTACTGCTTACAGACTCTTAAATTCAGTCTGCATTCACTTGCAGAAGTTATTATGAAATGCCAAGAGCCTAACAGTGACCAACGAATTCAAATATATGTGAGCAAAGAGGAACTGGATTTCAGCCAATTACACTCTCGGTCTGCGCAGCCTTACAGCTTTACCAGAGGAGACCTGACCTCCAAGCTTCTGCTTTTATTTTATTCAACAACCTCCCCCCCGCTTTGTTTTTTAAGCTGTTGTTACCTCGAAGGGAAAGCTGCAGTTACAGCTTCGCGAGCACAGTCCCACTAGTGGCGATTCCTGCGTGTGTGGACGCAGCTGCACGTCAGGGGGTCTCGGGACGGGTGGACACTGTCGGCACCGTCCGACCTGATGTCAGTCAAGAGCAGACCCTTCTGCTTTCTACACTTCTTTTTTTCCCTCAGCATTCTTAATGAAATTATATTTAAATATGCAAGCTTGACCTTTTATTCTACTGAATATTATGAAAGCAGATCTCTCTCTGCACCTTATTTTTTGGCAGATATTTTTTTCTCAGCTAAAGCTGAGAAAATCGAGACCTAGGAAAAAAATACAGGTAAACAAAGTGCTTGTAGAACGATAACGAGGTCTGATCTTACAAAACAACCTACATTTAAGCAAGCCTTTAACAATTCAGTTTAAAAAAAATCCACACTTTACCAAAAAATATACGAACAGATGGAAATAATCTTTAGATAATTTTTTACAGCAGATCTCTTGTCAGTTTTCGTTCTTTTTTATACTGCACCATAGCAAGATCACAGCAGTGCTAACTGTTCAGCAGCACCCTCCGACTTTGAAAACTTTGTGTTCGAATTCACTCTCTAGGCCTCCCGAGCGAAGGGACGCAGGATCAGCTACGGCATCAACCCACGCCCCGTTTGTGCAGCTCGTTCAGCCTTCCTAGAAAACATGATTTTATCACAAACACCGCTCTGGTTACGAGTGACCAGCTTTGAGGGC